TGCGATAAGTTAACAGTTGAAATTAATTTTTGTCACTTCATAAATCGCGGCGGCTGATTGCCATTGCCATTTCAACCAAACAGCCATCCTACACTGAAGGAAAAAGTCATATCCTAACATTAAATTAGTTCCTTTATTATTTAAAGACAGAAATTAACCATAAATAAGACGTCAGATTTTCGGCTCTTTAGGTATCTACGAATTTCTACAATCACTTTCTAGTCCGGTTCTAATCTATTAAAATTAGCTTGCGGTTCCATCAACTTCGTCTGTTTTATATATATATTCATTTTACAATAAGTTATTTAAAACTATAATACAACATGTTATACTAAAATCCAAAATGATTTTTTGCCGCGTAATTTCCTCCTGAGTTATGTTTTCTTTTGACCCACAAAAACCACTCTATCGTAGCACCATAAAGTGATAGAGCGAACGCTTTAAGTGCACTCATTTAATAGTTTTTACCTATCTAACCACTCGCATGGATAGAACTTTCTTAAAGTGTTTGCCAGGAAAACGGCCGGTAAGTATTTTCCTCAATGGCTCAATTTGGCGGCCAAAGGAAGTGGGTGAGTGGGAAAAGCGGACGCAAGTTACCCAAGTTCTCTTGAGGCCCTGGATATCGTGATTATCATATGACGTGACAGCCTCGCATATTTATGAATGCATTTGGGTCATAAACAATGTTGTTCTTGGTGTTTTTGTTGCGTTTCCAACGCAAATTGCGCACTTAAACCGTAAAATCGTTTTGGCTAAGAAACTTTTCGTGTTCCTATCATTGATTGAGTTCTTTGATGGTTGCCAATAAGCTATAAGCTCTCCCTAATTCGGGCTGAAATTGGCCCAATTGCATAAATTAAACGATATAAGGAGTAAAGTGTAGGTTTATGGGTGGAAGTTAAATCGCTCCATTACAAGTTAATTGAATTGATAGTATATTTGCAATAATTTTTTTTTTTATTTATTTTTTCGAAATCACTTTAGTGCACCCGCGGACGGCATTTAAATTGATAACGGGAACAAGGCTGACAATCACCACCAAAGGCGTTTTTTAAGTTTCACTTATTTATTTAGGTAAATAAAAAAATAACTATTTTTACTATCACCTATTAAATTGTTTAAAAAAATCGTTCATAACTTTGCACTTATCAAAAAGCTGCACTCAAACGTTTCTTTTACCGCTTCTTTTCATTTGTTTAGAGCAATTTCCTTAGTAAATATTCCATTTAGAACATGCAAAGGCAGCGAAGGCAAAGAAACTTTTCCAGCAATTTTCCAAACGGCAAGAGCACAGAGATGAGAAACTCGGAGGACTTCGAGGGGGGTAATTGCAGGTCGGTGTAATTGAAATTCGTTTGTTTATGTTGTCATTGTTGTTGTTTCTGTTTCTGTTTCTCTAGCTGTTCGGGCCGCGTCTTCTGCGCAAATTGAAAATTACTTAATGGTTCAGTGGCGATCGCTGTCGCTCCCGTTTTCCCGCTGGCCCCTTTCCCTCCCGTTCCTATTTTCCCGCTTGTCGCTGTCTCAGCTACTGGTTAAATGAGCTCAAAGTGCCGGACAAATGCGAAAATTGCTTTCCACCGGCTGGCAAAGTTCAGGAGAGGTATTCTTAAAAAAAAAATAGCGGTGAGTGTTTGGTTTGAACACATTTTTTTATCTCTTTTTGGTTTAAGGGCATATAAAGTTGCGAATTAGCCAGGTCAGGGAAAATATATGGGGGAGCTAAACATACAATTATTCAATCAATCAACATATGAATGATCTTTTAATATTTTTGAAAGCCTAAGAAGCAGGCATTAAGGTCTTATAATTTACTTTTGAGGGTGAGTTATAATGTTGCTATTTTTTTATACCTAACACTATTTATTTACCATTTAATATGACTTTACTGTCTGGCTGCAATTATTTTATTTACGTTGCCCTTAATAATACAGCAAAATAAGAAAGGGATACTTTTTATGTACTACATCCAGTAGACCTTTAAAAATAATGTAAGGAATAGTAAAAAGGTGTGGTTATTCTGAGCTGTAAGTTAATAAATGGTTTCAGTGCATCCAATTGTTTTTTGCTTTTGACTAAAAATCAACTAACCACATCCGAATTCTCATACTTAAGTAATACTCCCTGAATTCTCTTTCCTTAATAAATAGGTAACTTACCATTCCCTCACATCATCTAATGGAATTACCCCACTTCGCATACAATTTAGCAACCATAATTGCTAGATACAGACAGTGAATTGAATATTTACCACTCCCTCTCTTGTCCCTATAAAATTCATAAAATATGGCCTGGCAATTTTTAAGATTAAACGCTATCTTGTATCGATTATCAAATGCTGCTCGTGGTTTTATTATAAAGCAATTAATCTGCATTGAAAATGGTGCACAAAATAGACGGCTTCCCATATGTTTGCCATATTTCATGGGAACCGCAAATGGCCGATAAATGCAATTAACTAATTTGTTGTCGAATGTACGTTTTTGGCAACTGTTTTAATCGCCTACGCGCACACGGAATATGTTGCATTAATTTGTCAAATTAACACCTTTGTTGGGGATTATAAAAAACTTTTAATATTTTCCCCAGCCGCAGTAATTTTTCAAAAGCAACAAATTTATGACTTTTATTCTGTGCTGGCATTTTAATACGCCGATTTTGTAGCTGGCTGCGGCAAATCTCACGCTAAATCATTGTTTGCCATACCAGCTGCAGATACATATAAGCCAACTTCATATAGCCACTCCGAAAACGTTTCCGAATCGGAGGCACAACGATAACAACGACAACGTCGCCATCGCCTACAACATTCATTCAAATTATGGAACCGCAGTGCGATCGAGATCTCGTTTTAGTCACGCTAAATTTATACAAAAAAGAGCTTGGAAAAAAACCTAAAAAAATGAAACTGAGAAAATGAAAAAGCCACAACAATAAACACACCTTAAACCCCGGAGCGAGAGTGAGACAGGCGACTACAGAGCAACGGAGACAGCACGAGTGGAGGGGACTCAAAAAAAAAAAATCGTTTCAGGTTAATTAGCGAGCGCGACAAAACCCACCCAAAAGCGTAGATTTATGCACTCGGAACTCGGTATTCGTTTTTGGGGATTCAGTTGCGAGATTCCCTTCCCTACCGACCCTCTCTAAATAATTATGGGTTCGACATCCATCAGCGTAATGAGTAAATTGCCAAGGAATTACACGTATTCGAGTTTATTTGGGGCAAGCTTTTAAGTTGCGTAAAATTGGGTATTAGGAAAGTTTTTACCAAACTATTATTTCATTAGACTTGGGAACGTTTGTTAGAGCTTGAAATACATTTGATTGTTGAAAAATGTGTTACAAACCTATATATTTCTATGCAGTTTACTTCAGTCGGTTTGTTTTTCTGTACAAAACGTGTGGATAATTGGCTAAAACTGTCGTTAGTGCTTAAGTGTTTAAGCCAGTCAATCTTAGAAATTACTTTAAATGATACTTAATAAAGCAATTAAACTTGACTCGTTAAAGACAAAGTCACTGTCATTGCAATTGTTACATGAATACTTATTGCGAATTTAGTAATGAAATAATGTTCGAATAATTCAATTGTAAACTACAATCCATTCTAGTGAGGTCTTAAACGTTATAAAATAGTGCTTTAATATTTTGAGGCTGTAATAAAATTCAGTTATTGCTTTTGCAATGATTCAACTAGTCGGTTAGACCTTTGGAAACTCGTTATAAATAATTGACTTCCTTTAAAAGCTAATAAAGGTAAACCACCAATCAAAATTACAACAAACTAGTGCTTGGAATTAGTTACAATTTACTACTTGAACCACATGATCCATGGATTTACCAGAGATTCCAGTGGATTAGCCAAAAACTATTAAGGAATCCGAATTGCTTGTTCAAACAGCAATAAGCCACCCCATAAATGAACTCCCCAGCATATGGAGTACACCCACCCAGCCAATCCCCCCCATCAAACCCATGAAATTATTAGGCAAACGATTACGAATTCCCTGCGGTGGCATAAACTAAATTCATGAGAGTGCCATGATTGCTGGGAGGTTGTTTTAGGGTTGCTTTCGATGGGTTGGGTTGGTGGGCTTCGGTCGGTTCACACACAAAAACGCATGCAGTGGAGTTTCGGGGGTGAGGGCATAATGAGCTTAAGTTATGTTACATAAGCCATAAGGACATGAAAACCACTCGAGCAGACACTTCACTTCGGGGTGAGTGTTTCGCCTCCTTTTCGCTCTCACCAACTATTTCGGTGGTTGGCAAACTAATGAGCTGTGGGTTGCTGTGGTTTGGCTCCGTTTGCCGGCTATGTGGTGTCTGTCGCTTGTTTGCACAACCGCTTTATGAGCCACCACTCAACAACTCGTCTCCTCGAGTGTGTGTTTGAGTTTGGAGAAAGAGTGAGTGAGTGGTGCACTGGCACTGCAAGAAATGGCCACTAAAATCGGCAATAGGTCTAGTCAGTTATTAGCAATCGTTGCTTGCCTTGAAAATGTATCTTCAGTTACAACAAAAATAAATTGATAACCATTTCAAAGATTACAACATTTAAATAAGATAAGTCATTCACTGTGGGGATCCACAAATTTGTTCTTTAACACATTTATACTAAGCCCAGATTAAATCTTATTTTTGGAATACACTTAAGCCGACGGATTTTGTCAGCGATTTTCATACCAACTAAATCTAAATTTTTTTGTGATAACGTCTTCTCAGCTTAGCCATAATAAATTATTATTAAATAAATAAACCTCTTTCTTTTGATCATTTTATTTATCAAAGTTACACCTTTATGATGATTAAAAAAGTTTAGCAGTAGCCAACTGATCCTTTTTTAATTTACTCAAATAATGCATGTTATTTTCTTGACATCACAGAAGTTATATAACTTTGGCTGAATTTTATTTAAAATCAAATTGATTGTAACTTGTTCATTATGTTATAAAAAGCTTTACTTAACAGGAATATGTAAAACAAGGACTCACCTGAGCTGGGGCGATCGCTGTAGCGGGTGCAGTAGACCCACGCTGGCCAGACAATGGGCGTGCCCGAGTCCTCACCGGATTTACCTCCTGTTCCCGCCGAGGCTACCACTCCTCCTGTTGGTGGTGGCGATTTGACCAGATCCACTGGCGCCACCGAGGTGTTGGTGGTGCTGCTGCTGGTAGCAGTGCTATTGGAATCATTGCTATTGCTGCAAATATTCGCCAGTGAGCTGGAAAAGCTCAGACTCGAATTGGCGGCGGCATTAGTTTGAGCCAGGTTCAGGGGTTTTCCTGATTTTTTAGGCGCCTTGAGGGGAGATCTGCTGCCGTTGGTAGTTGCGGTACTTTTACTATTACCAGTACTGCCGCCACTCACACTTCCACCTCCCATATTGCCACTTAAGCCAGCAATTTTGGGCAATCTGGATCCAAAGTCGGCCTTTAGGATGTTGTCTATACTGAATTTGAGGGCTCTCTCGTGCAGATTTTCATTGTTGTTGAGGTGGTTCTGCATGTGATGATGGTGCTGATGGACTTGATCGCGTTGCAGGAGCAGCTGCTGGTGGGGGTGTACCGCTCCGCCTGGTCCCAGTCCCAGGGCCGTGGCCGTCAGCTGAGCCAGTGCATCCTGACCACTGGGCACTGTGGCCGCCGCCGCTGCCGCCATGGCCATTTGCAGCTGTTTTCCCGCCGCAGCGGCCGTCAGAGCATTCACCCTGGCGGCGGCCATCAGATGCATCTGCTGCTTCATCAGCTCCTCAGCGTAGAGCTGGGATTTCCGCAGGAACTCCTCCTGGAAGGAGGACCCAGTGGAGGGCGGCAGCTGCAGCAGTTCCTCGGGCGAGAGGGGTGGTCCTTCACTGGGCGGCAAAACAGTTGTGGTGCTACTGAAAGCCGACGGTCTGTAGATTTGGCTAATCAAAAGCCGCTGTCGCGCTTGAGCCTGAGCGGATAGAGCCGCCTGGGCAGCCTGGGATTGCTCCTGGCCGACGCTCAAAACACTCGTCTCACTGCAACAGCTGGCGGGGTCCTCCAGGTCCAGATCCTGCTCCTCATCCATCGCCTCCTCCTCATCCTCAATGTTCAGCTGCTCCTCGCACTCCGTCTGCCCCTCCGCCTCCTCCTCCTCTTCCCGCACTTGCGGGGAATTCCCCGGCTGGGCCAGCGGCAAGGGCAAGCAATCCGGATGCATTTCACTTACTTCCTGGCCACCTCTTTCCGGTCTCCTCCGCGCCTCCTCCTCCTGGTCGTCGGCCTCCTCCAAGGAGGGTAAAATCAACTTGAGCGGGGGCGGTCGGCTGCTGGCCAAGGTGGACATTAGTTTTAGGGGCTAAAGTCTTTAGCTTGAAAGTTCACAGGGGCCAAAAGCCGACGGCATTTCAGGCAGCCCGAAACCAATAAATACATTAACCACTAAAGTTATCACTTCGATAGGCAAATAAACGGCGCTTTCGACTTCGATTGGCAATTACTTCAAGTGATAAGCTTATCGATACCGACCGTTAATCCGCTCGCCCGTTAAAAACGTAACGTGCGCTGTTACGAACCGCCGACCAAGTGATTCTCTCGCGAACTGAAAGCAAAGCGAGACGGCAGCAGCTGAGAGCCGCCGCAAAGAGAACTCTCTCACACGCTCTCTCCCTCACACTGGCCATCTCGCTCTGGCTTTTTCGAACATCCAATCAGCGGCTGTGGGGCGTGCCCTAGTGTTGTCTCGCTCGCACGCTGTCAGTTGAGGTTATGTTAAGTGTTTGTATATTTGTTAATTAAGTGCGTCGTCGCCCCAAACGAAAAAAAAAGAAAATAGGGATAAGAACTCCACTCCATTTCCATCTGCGCCTTGTCGTTTTGATTATGCGCTGCAGCATTTAAGTCGTAAATCTCACTCTATGTAGGCTGCCCTCTTCCTCTGCCTCTTACCCTCTCCCGTTCACTCTTCTTTGCGGTCTGGCATCTGCAGTCCTTTTTGCTGGCATCCTCCGTCCTGCTTTATATACCCACACACACACATATGGTCACTGGCACTCCAGACTCTGTATGTGTTTATGTACAACACATGCCACAGCTTCCCCATCTCCTTCGTTTTTGTTCTGTCTCGATTCAACGAAAATGTTTGCGCTTTTTGATGTCATTGTTGTTGTTAGCTGCGCTTTATAAATCACCACCACAATTTTTGTTGCCCCAACATCTGCCGTGATTTCATAATTGCTTTTGATGCTTTTTTGTCGCCGTTTTATTGTTTGTTGTCGTTTTGCCTTCACACATATCGCATCGGACAACATCGATGATAGTTCTGCGTAAATGAATACCAATACAATTGTAAATTGTCAAACAGGGGCGTAGATCAAAAACCATTAAAAGGGCGTACGTGTGGTCAGTACTATATTTACGCTTTCAAAATAAATATCCACCAAATGTGCTTAAACAAAGATTAATTGATCTATCTAATGAACTATCTAATGTTATTAAAAATGATTATGGTGTTAACTGATGTCAAGACAATCAATAATTTATTGAAAAAGAGAGGACTAATCTCCAAGAACGTGTTTCTTAGATCTCTAGACTTAAAAGGAACACATTTTTAATAATGAACTTTTGTTTTGTTTGTAATTTATATACCACAGAAACTACACTGCATGTTTGACCCAGTTTAAGACCTCATACCCCGCCCCTGACCAACCGCCTGTCATGCGTATGTTTTGGGCTTGTCTAATTGGCCAACATATTGCATTGTTGCAGTGCTTTGTGCTCATAAATCTGTATTTAGCTTTCCTTTCAAGTATTTGTGACATTTTTTATGCGGCATGTGTGGGGTGGAAACGGGTTTGCCTCGCTTGATGTTAGGTTATGTAGGGAATGCTGATCACTCTTTAAATTAAATCAGGAAAACAAAGTTGTAGTCAACAGAAAGAAAACTAGGGAGGGCTGCATTAATTTGCATTATCTGCAGCGGACCTCTTTAGTAGTGACCATGTTGAGAGTGGTTAATGGATCATATTTCATATCTGTAATCGACTATCAAAGTTGCACCTTTCCCCGTTATCGCCGACAGATTGGTCATAAAATATCGAAATTCCAGCGATCTTTTTATCGCTGCTGTTGAACCCATAAAGCCCCGGATCATGGAGGTTTTCGGGCTGTCCACGCTTTATTATCGCTTCGGATCGGATCGTTGGAACCACGCCCCGAAATGCAAACCAATCCAAGCCAGTTTAATAACTTTGTTGCAGCATTACAAAGCAGCGAGTGCCAGATGCCGACACAACGATAGTATAACCCCCGACCAACGAATTAATGAAGCTTAATTTTCAGCCCTCGACAAAAGAAACAATTATACACAGCGAGGGGTAAGGAAAAGAGTAGAATAGTGAGCAGAACAGTCCAGCTTCTCTAGCTTCATTTTTAATAGGAAGATGGCTCATAATAATTGTTATACCTGTTTGAAAATTATGAACATAATTCTGTAATTTATAGTCAAGATTTAACTTAATATCTGCATAAAAATACCATGACAATTGTGTTCAGATATAACCATTACTATTTGTAAACTATCGTTGTTTCAACCTTTGATGTGTTAGACGGCTGTTTGAGTTACAGAAGTTCGACTGTAGAAACCCAAGACCACGAATTATGAATAAAATTAAACACAATTGCTCAAAATGTCTGAAAAGCGTACTGATTCTCTCTACCCCTTCCCTTAACCCCAGTCATTTCCCGCAGATTCCAGGCAAAGAGGAGACATGATTAAAGCCGCGCACGAAACGCTTTTCACATAAAAGACGCCGCGGAGCGTAAGGCGATCTCGCTAGTTAATCGCGCAGAAAATCTTCATCAGAAATGGACGGCAAACGAAAGCAAGAAAAAAACAGCAACAAAAAGCAGCGCAGTAAAGTTACTCAAACTAAAATAAATACAATCAAAACATGAAGCCTACAACGCAAGCAATAAGTAACAACGACAACACAACGACAACGACAAAAGAGCAAAGCGCGCCGGCAAAACATTACAAGACCTCTCTATCGCCCTCTCTTTTCCGCCACAGCATCAACTTTAGCACCAACAAAGGCTACAGCAACAACAAATAGCATAATCGCATTGAGTAAGCCGAGGCAACTCCTCCCCCTCCCGCCCCCTAACAGCTCCCCACTGGGCACACAATTTAGATGCGCGGCAATAGATAAACTTAAAGAGGCTTTTATTTAAACAAAGCGCAGCAGCAGCAATGAAGCTGCTCAGTCAGGCAGACAGAGAGTGAGATTCAGGCTTCAAAAAGGTGCGGATTCAAAAATCAGGAGGTTGGGGCGGCTAGGATTAATTTAAAGAGCATTTAAAAAAACGAATTAAATTTATAGAAATTGATTTAAATTAAGCATTTAGAGCTTTTAAGCGTGTTGGACTCCTAAAAATATGGTGATTCAATAAATAATTTATTCTAAGCTACTAAGACACTACCGTTTAGAGCTACACACCCAACTTAAGATCACTGTTAAGCCAGCAAATAAAGTATTCGAATTTACACATTTGAGTCCTTGAATCCAGTCCTGTTCCAACTAGCAGTAGCTAAGTGCGCGGAGCTGGGGAATAAGAATGGGGACTCTGAGTTGAAGCCTGATCTCTGAGGCCCTGCCGCTGCTGTCGGCCGAAGCGCAAAAATGTATGTAGCTTACAAACGAGCAACATCAGAAGAACAGAAACAGAACAGAGCTCGGATTGGTGCTCTCTTTCTCGCCCGCTAACAGGATCGATGGCCCTCGTTAGCTCCACCGCTCTCATTGTCAATCTTATAGGACTGCAGTGTTGCCTACTCAGCTATTTCACCACCAGATCTGGCGCTTTCCAAATAATCGCTGCAAAATGGGGGCAACACTATTGGATTGCACTCGCCTCTTTTTTGTCCCGGTTTGTGTTTGTCTCTGTTGCTTTTCGAGCTGATCTTTTAATCGAATCGTAGCATTTATTATGTTGCGACTGGGGATTGGATGTGGATTGGAGACTGTAATTGTTGTGATTTTGCGGCCAGTTTGTCTAATGTCGTTTAGCAAACAATGGACATGACTGTGTCATAAGTTAACAAAAAAAAAAAAAAGCAAACCGAACAGCAAATGGCCAACATTTGTTGCGCAAATTAATAATTTGCTTTTCGGCTTGCGCAATTCGCTTTTGACGTGTGTTGTGATTCGACTTGATTTAGCTTTGATTGAATTTGATTTCTTGTCTCAATTGGAATTTGCATAATTTATTTGTTTGAGAGCGTGCTGCTCTAATTGCAATTAGCACGTGACGACAGCAGTTATCATCACCTCCATCATCATCATCGTTGTCAGACGGCAGTCAAAATCCCATTCCATTATCCCATTTCTCGATACCCAACTTCGTTCCACTTGTCGACAGTTTGGAGAGAAAAATCAATAATAGGCATGTGGAAATTGTATTTAATTGACAGTTAAATGGTTTTCAACTCGCCATGGAAATCGATTGGGTTTGGCCCGTAGATGCCATTGGGGTTGTTGGGGGGTTAAGAGAAGGGGCTTGCCGAGGGGGTGGTGCGTAACAGCCAATTAGCAGTGGAAAAGTTTTCGAGGAAAATTAATAAGCAGGAAAGAAGTACATGTCAAGGCAACTGATTTGTTGGGGTAAAGTGATAAGGTGGTTTTACAAAAACTGGGGAGGAATATTTAAAATTACTTAAAATGGGATCAAGTAATTACTGGTTTTACTTAATGGTCGGTTATTTTCTAAGGTAAGGAAAAAATGAATAATACTACACTGACAACAAAGCATTTAAAGAGGGAGTGACGAGCTCGACGGTATTAATAAAAATATAAAAAAACACTAGTTCTTATTTTCAAAAAACAATTTGAAAGGTTTTTTTTATACATTATATATTTCTTTATAATTCTTAACCAAAGGGTTGCATGTCTGATGATTGTCTTTAAAATAAAACTTTTTACGGATACTCTTCCGCACTTTTTACCCATCCGCTCATCCATTCTATTCCAATTCCCCCTGCGAATTGGACCCAAAGCAAATAAATAAAACGCGACATTTGAACCGAACTGACAATCACCTAATTACATGCACAAACACTGCCGCACACACTCTAATTGAAGTGCGAGGAGTGCGGCAGCAGAAAAAGCGAGACAGCAAGTGTGGGGGGAGTGGGGTAATTGCAAGGCGATGGCCTGTCATCGGTTGCTCGTGTGTTGTTGTCGTTGCAGAACGCTTAAGCAAATAGCATTAAATAAAAGGTTAATAAATAGCACAAAGCACACACTGCGGTTAAGAGGGTGAGCGAGAGAAGGCGATTGAGCGAGACAGACAGAGACAATATGGCCGACAAGGCTGACATGTGTACGACGTGTGTGCGCGAGAGGGAGAGGGCAGAGGCTTTCGTTTGTGTGTGTGTGCAAGCAGTTTGTAACGCCTGCTTATTTATGTACGATGAAACTAGAGGGGGGCACATTGGCGGGTCCTTTCAATTTAACCGTCGCTCCTCCATGCAAATGTCAATTGTCAGTTGTTGTTGATTTAAGTTTATTTGGTACAACAATCAACTAATTAC